ACATAATATTTAGAAAAAAATCTTATATAGGTATGCGCATAAGGAAAATTTAAAGCCAATTATGCAATAAAAATGCCATTTTTGACATGACTTTATGTACGTAGGGATGTCAACATATCTCGATTTTGTTGAATTTGCAAAAAAACAAAAAAAAACCTTGTGACACCATACATTAATAAGAATAAAACAATTACTTTTCATATCTATTAGTTTAAAGCTTGTAATAATTTTAAAGGCTTATTTAGGGTCCTAAAATAATTAACAGATTTTTTTAAAGATTTCTTTATATGTTTAAAATTAAATAGTTTAGTCAGGTCATAGATACGTTTTTGTGTTACAAATTTTTTTAGTTAAATATTTTATTTTAAAATTAGATACGTCAAGTTAAATTTGTCAAAGTTAGAACCCCCAGAACCCCTAACCCCCAGAAGACACAAGTTTGCGCGTTAACCGCTAAAAAGAACCCCTTTGTCGTATCTCCTCAGTTTCAAGGCACTCCCCTTGTTGCCTCAGCCAGTATCGGAATCCTCGGCGTCGACATATCGAGTGACGTGCAGTTTCGTGGTCACTTGGAAGAGAAGGCCAAATTGGCCTCTAAAAAAGCTTGGCGTGCTCAGCAGAGCGGGACAGTATTTCATGCCGGCACACCGCCTGCAACTTTACAAGGCGCAGGTTCGGTCGCACATGGAATACTGTTCCCATCTCTGGGCTGGGGCTCCCCAGTACCAGCTCCTTCCACTTGACCGCATCCAGCGCAGAGCGGCTCGAATCGTCGACGACCGAGTGTTTTCATATTCAAATTATTTTCTTGAACCACTTAAGTATGTTTCTAAGTTAAGTTTGTGATGATTTCTATTTGTAAATTTTTAAAATCATGTGTAAACTGAGACAAATAAAAAGCTTATGTGGGGTATCTATATAGTTTTCTCATCTGGTTGGGTTCTATAAATACATAATTATAAATTAAAATGAAAAGATAAATATACATAAATATAATTAAAATAAATAAATATACAAAAATACATAAATAAATAAAAGCCCAACCAGATGGAAGCCCTCGGCAGGGCAGACCAAACGGCCGAGGGTTAGGATGAAAGGGAAAGAAACCGGCGGACGATGCGGGCGGTATCGAGGAGCACCGCCTTCTGCATTTGAGCCCGGAGCGGTTCATCACGGAGTCCCAGTCGCCTCAAATGACCCGAGAGGCTGACTGGGATTAGCCCATTCGCAGAGACGACTACGGGAATAATTTCGGCCGGCATACCACCCCACATGTCGGTCACCTCGTGAGCCAGGTCCAGATATTTTGTTCGTTTACCTGTTTCGGCTTTCATGAGGTTCTCATCATACGGAATGGTAATGTCGACCAAAAATATCCTTGACTGTGCCCGGTCCATCAGCACAATATCAGGCTTATTCGCAAGAATAGTCCTGTCTGTGATGATGGCCCGGTCCCAGTAGAGCCTGGCGCGGTCATTTTCGAGCACGGCTTCCGGCAAGTACTTGTAATACGGCAATTTCCGGTACACGAGACCGTGTTTCAGAGCGAGCTCCTGGTGTAGAACTCTGGCTACTAGGTTGTGCCTGTGCAAGTACTCAGAGTTAGAAAGCGCCGAATAACCGGAGATGACATGCCTAAGTGACTGCCCGGGATGGCGACAAGCTCCACAGACGTCGACAGTGCCATCCTTTAGGATGTATCCCCGACAGTTGTTGGTCTTAATAACCTAATCCTGTATTGCACACACTAAACCCTCGGTTTCCCCGAAGAGGTCACCGAAACGTAGCCAGTTGAGGGAGGCGGCTGTATCTACGTGGGGCTCATGTAGAGTCCTGTAGTACCTCCCGTAGAGCTCCTTCTCCTTCCATACGGTCTGCCAGTCAGAAATGCTCTGTACTGCCGGGTCCTGCCATTGCTCGTTGGCTAAGGATAGAGGAGTAAGTCCTTTATCACTAGAAATGATGTCATTATAGAATGGATCATCCGATCTCGCCAGGAAGTAATGACGGATGCTGCACACTTCGCGATTATGCACGGTGAGCGCGCTCAAGAAGCCACGCCCACCATGCTTTCACGGCAAGTACAGCCTCATTACCGACGATCTCGGATGATGCATCCTATGGGACGTCATTGTAGTGCGGACTTTCTTCAGGGCATTTAGTTCAGTCTGATTCCACCTGAGTATGCCAAAGGTATACATGAGGACAGGCATGACCCAGCCGTTATATGCGTGTGTCTTATTCACACCGGACAAAAGACACGCTGTTAAGCACTTTGGTCAAGCGTGCATAAAACACGTCGCAAACTGACTGTTTCATACCAGCCTCATCGATACCGATGTTCTGTGACATACCCAGGTATCGGTATGTTTCAGCCTCGGAAAGGGTCCTTAAGTTGACGGGCATAGATAAGTCTATGCCCTTAGATTTAGCAACCCTTCCCCTTTAAACATGGAGGACGGCACACTTATCCGTCCCCAGCTCCATTCTAATAGAATTGCTAAATTCACAAGTGATGTTTAGCAATTCCATAAGATGGGAGCGACTGGAGGCGAATAATTTGAGGTTATTCATATAGAAAAGGTGGGTCACTTTTGTACCTCCTTTCCGAAGCTGAAATCCTCCCGGAGCCCTCCAGTAAAGTACTGAGAGGGTTCAAAGAGAGACAGAACCAGATTGGACTCAGACAGTCGCCCTGGAATATACCCCTTCTTATCCTTATGCGGCTTTCCGCAGCCGTCATCCGCTCGCCTAGATGACAGAAAATCGTACTTCACTGCCCCATACACTGCTCGAGTCTCGAACTGTTCAGTCAATCTTGTACAGCTCGAGGACCCTCTTTAGCCATGTATGGGGCACCGAGTCAAATGCCTTTCTGTAATCTATCCAGGCGGCGGAGAAGTTCCGACGGTTGCGTTTCACCACTTTGCCAATGACCGCGTTAATGAGGAGTGGTTCCTTGGTTCCACGACCGCCACCCCGACTTCCATTTTGAGCGCGCGACATCACCTGATTTGAGTTCAGGTGACGAGTGATTCTCGCTCTCAAAATGGATGTTAGTGTCTTGTATATGGTCGGTAGACGCGTGATGGGGCGGTATTTGCTCGGGTCTGTGGCACCCTGATCTTTAGGAACCAAATGAGTTATCCCAGTAGTGAAGAGGCTCGGGAGCGACTTCTGGGTGAGAGCCTCTTGAAACTGTCGAGCGAGCACAGCATGACACACCATGAACCCCTTCAGCCAGTAGTGATGCAGCCCGTCAAGCCCCGGACTTTTCCAGTTCGGGGCCCTACGGACCGCCTCAGAAAAAGCTTATTATTATTATTATTAAAAGCTTATTAATTATTAATAATAATTTATTAAGCGAGGTTTTTGTTTTCCACTGAAGTTTTTCATTAATTATAATTCTCAAATATTTTATTGTGTTTTTAGTTATCTAAGGGCGGTCGCAAGACATATATTTTCTGCCGTTACTGCTGTTTGCGGGTCCCCGGTTCTTTGGTCATCTTTATGGTTAATTTTATTCCTTTTGAATTCAGCAAACCACCTAAAAATTAGTTGCGCGTGATGGAGCTGAGTCCCTTGATGCTGATTATAACCGTTGTAAACTTAATTGCTCGGTTAAACCAAATTTAAAATCATAATAGATATAAGCGCACAAATGTTCACGGTTAAGATCCAACGTTTTAAATAATAAGCGCGGGAAGCGACGGAGGGAAATTAATAGAACTTTACTTTTTTAATTTTGAGCAATTGACTTATGGAGTTCTATTTTATCTTTTTAGAAACATACAACATGGGTGCGTTCCATTTTTAAATTTCAGTCATCTCAAAACTTATTGAGTGACCTAAGTACGTATGAATCCTTAAGTTATATTAGCGGAGTTTATTTTTTTTACTCATGTCATTTACGTGAGTTAAAAATAATATCGGACCTAGAATGCTACCCTGTAGGACACTGTATGTACATCGCATATCATTACTGGAATTTCACTCTAACTTACTCCTTTCTGTCACACAAATAACTTTGGAACCATTTCAGTGCAGTACCTCGTATTCTCAAGTTCTCTAACCTCCACAAAAGAATCGATATTGTGTCGAAAGCTACAATACACTGCGTAGGTAGGTGTAAAATGTGTAGGTCAATAATATTTTATTATTTTTACCTGGAATAGGCTTATAATATCCCTCAACACACAACCTAAACCAGTCATTAGCATAAAAACTTTTACACATCAGTCTATTTATGTGAAAGGGTTAAGAGATTTATGTGATCTCATGATTCCTAGGGAAGAAAGGTCATCGAATGGCAGCCCCGTTATGGATGGTGGGCGAATTGTAGGGCACCCCCCATTAGATGGATTGACAACCTGGTGAGACATGCAGGAAGTCAATGGATGCAGGTGGCTCTAGACCGCATTTTGTGGCATTCTTTGGGAGATTGGCCTATGTCCAATCCCAAAGGTCGAAGTCCAGCTGTGGATTTGTTAAGGCCTGAAATGATGATGATCTCCTGTAAAGGAATATTTTATCGATAAATAAAAATTGCTCCATTGATTAACTAAAACATTTAATCGAATTTATAACCTCTTCCTCTTTTAAAATCGGTAAGGTTAGATATAATTAACAGTTTAATTTTCAATAATAATTTATTTTGGTACATACTTTAGTTACAAAACATATTTACAATTAATGAACACTAATTATATTGTACAGTATTTTCAGTAATAATTTAATCTTATATCATAATATACTTAGCGTACCTATTTAGTGTTTGCTTTGATCAGATGTACAAACATAAAAATCATAAAATGGCAATATACATATTTATGCGCAATCTTTAGTAGGTATTGGTAAGATTTCAATTTTAAAATAACCATGAAATTTTATACCTACTTACAATATTAACAAATTATGTATTAATTAATAACTACATAAAACCTATTACTATTTAATATAAGACAGAATGCAGTCTTTGTAAGTATAGATTCTTTAGGTGGTCATCTTGCCGAATTAGATATTGTCTTTTGAATCCAGTCCACGTGTGATGAAATAGAGTCGTAGATTCGTGGTCTTCCCAATCCAATCTTACTGCAAGCAATCCGCCATCCACTAACGCCGGCTAGTGACCATTGTTTGGTTTTTTCATTGAAACACATCATAGAACTCCCTGCATATTCTTCCTCCTAAAATAAAATATTCCGTGTCCGTTACCGTTACTGTTACAGCCTATCAAAGGTCCACTGCTGAACGCAGACCTCCCCCAGAGATTGCCACATGGAAGGGATAATTGCAGCTATAGTTGTTATTAGGAAGACACTGTTGGTCAACTCCTCCACCCCGAAAAAAAAAAAAACCGAGGCTACTGTAGTCCATAGAAACCAGCAGCTAACTTTATACAAAGAAGGTTAGGTCTAAGACATACCCTCTCGCCTCACAATTTGTAACTATACTAGCTCCATAGAATACTATAATACACAATAGAATGGCTGTCAACCTTATTTTGTACGACGATAGGCGTCGCCGGGAGCACACATACAAGCAATAACGTCGTATTATCACTACTACAAACCCAATTCGCTGTGTTGACAGACGGATTTTAATACATATTTATTTGTAAATAGCGTGCAATTTGGCATTTTCTAAATAATTTGCATGCGAAATTTGGAAACGATTGTGACGTCAAAACACATCTCGTGTTGACATTTATACGTGTGAATTGACGTCTTGTGGCATTTTAGTGGCTACACGGGCTCCGCCCACACCCCCTTTCTATTATGTATGTATTATAGTATTATATGTCTGGCTCTATACATCCTTCGGACCGAAACTCAGCTGTGCAAGCACTGCTGTTTGGCGCAAGAAATAACGCTGACTCACGCCAATGAGTATAAAATCACTCTACAAAGAAATTCGCTAAGTCAAAACATCTCACGCCAAATCACAATTCTTTTTAACCAAGTACCAAGAGTGTACAATCACTACGTTTACAACTAACATAAAGAGTTTCATCTGCGAACTTCTGTCGTCAACTTATGTGATAAGTACGTACATCTGTATTGACAGATGTACGTTCTAGTTGGTATTTGAAAGATCGTAACCATGCGTGGACGATCAGCCACGAGTATATTATGATAATGTACCAACAAATCTACACTAATATTATAAAGAGGAAAGATTTGTTTGTTTGTTTGTTTGAATTGAATAGGCTCTGAAACTACTGAACCGATTTGAAAAATTCTTTCACCATTAGAACCCTACATTATTCCTGATGAACATAGGCTATAGAACGTTTTCAAAAAAATTTGGGGATCCGTATGAAAACTTCGTTAATGTAACCCAAGGTGTGAAAAAAATACCAAAAAAAAAAACCTTATATCGCGTACGCTGCGGAAACTAATGACAATAGAGCAAAGTGATGTGCTACAGTTTTATGGAGGACATCAATATCTACATAAAAGTCTGCAATACCATATGTTTAACTATTATAGTAATCTCACAATAACTACTTTTCCATTTTAAAATATTCAATAGTAACGTCTAAAAATCCTTATATCGCGTACACTGCCAGCACCATGCGATGCGGGTGTCACTGGGGTGTGATATTAGAAATAAAAATAAAATAATCAAATATTAAAAAAGAACAAAAAAAATTAAAAAGGATACGTAAAAAATAATTAAAAAATCATTATCTATACATATATATATATTAATATTATAAAGAGGAAAAATGTTTTTGTTAGTTGGTTTGTACCAAATAAGTCCGAAACCCCTGGACCGAGTTTAATCAATTTTTACCAATAGAAAGCTAAATTATAGGGGGGGGGGGGGAAGGGTGAGTGATAAATTTTATCAATTTAAATTTTCTGTATAACGTGTATATGCCGATAGATAAAAGTACTCCATTAATTTTGCTAATTTTTTAGCTAAAATGATTGAACTAAATGTGCGAGGTGTCATATCATGTCGCACGGCAGAGACGCGTGATATACGCGGGTGAAACCGCGGGGTACTGCTAGTAAAATATAACTTACATCACAGTCGTCTTGATCATACAGTGGTTCCGCACAGATGCCGTTAGCAGTGGCTATACTGACATTTTCGCAAGTTTGCATGGAGGTTGCTACTACGTGGATTCTTTGTAACTGATCCCTATTCCTGGTCCAACCAAGTGTGTTGCAGGTGCTTTGGTTATCCATTCTACCCTCTGGTAGGCAAGCCGGACGTACAAAGTCAGTCATTTCAACAGGCTCTTCTAGTCGAACTAAGGCCAGCATGCTGCCTTCCACGGGCGACCGAACCAATCCAACGATACGTCTCTCTTGTTGCCATGGTGACGTGCTCTGTATACGCACAGTGCCAAATCTCGCTGTCCATTCGGCTTTAGGTTGACCCTACAAACAACATAGTAAATTCATCATAATTAGTATCGGTATATATATGTATATAATATTCACGGCACGGCGGAAGCACGGCTGAAGTAGGTAACAGGGTGGAGACCGACGGAACAGTAAACGAGTCCTACCATCTAGAAATCGTCTTTGTTGAGGAAACCAGTGTCTTGACATGATTTATAGGTCTCTTCGGTGAAGTACCAGTGCGCGGGATGGGTATGTTGAACATCCGATTCTTTCACGTAATTGGTTGGTTATTTAAGGTCGGAGCAAAATGTCGCGTTAGTCATTATTTGTGAGGTTTTTAGGAGCTATCTACTTGCTATTAAAAAGATATATGAACTAATAAAAATTCTATTAAATTTCTACATAGTCTTGATTTCATAATAGCCAATTCAATTTTTTTTAAAAGGAGTAAATACTTGATGAATATTCCTACAACTAAACAATATGAAATAATTATTGATAACATGCACCTCATAAAGTAAGCATTACTTTTTTTGCGATTGACACTAATGGATAGGCAATTTATTAATGAACATTTTGATCCATTTAATTTTTTCAAGGGACTAAAATTCGATTTTATAAAGAAAATGTTTAAAATTTGGGTGTATTTCTTACGCGATATATTGTAACGAGAGCGCGTGGAATATATAGGACCAAACTCTCAAGGTCGTTCGCTAGGATTAGGGTCTTGATCTACGTCGGATATACCTACGATTCAGATATTCATGTGATATTCGTCTGCAGTATATTGGATGGAAAATGTACATGGGCAATAATATACATTTCTATGTATCCTACTAGACGGGTAAAACGGTACTAACACATTGCGCATCAAGTTTCGGTTAATTCTGCGTAACTTCTTTAGTCTACTGCGAGCGGGCCAGAAGACTAGTCCATTTTATAAACCACGAACGTTGTTTTCAACGTTCGCGGTTTAACAATCTAACAATGATTTTATTTTAATGTGAGTAAGAAAACTCTGTCATTATTCATATAAGCCAACGTGATTTGAAGTTTATTTTACATAAGTATGTAACTTTATTTCGTATTTGCTTAAAAGTAGTGAATGAATATACAATTGCGTGTCATATTTACTGTGTCAGCTGCCCACCCCGCATCAGAGCGTAGCACAGCTGTGACTCAGTTTTGGTTCTGAATTGCTGGTCTAGTAGTAGTTTTACGTGCTACAGTTATATAAGTAGTATAGATGTAGCACGAATGGGTCGGGTTGACCGGGGAAGGACCACGCTCTCACAGAATATCAGCGTCAAATAGTAGCTTAATGCTGCTGTGTTTCGTATGGTGAGTGTAGATAACCGGTGACCCTTTTTAATGGAAACGAGGTATTTCACCTAAGTCCTCACGGATGACAACGCATCTGCATTTTGATTCGTAATCGAGGATAGATGTAGATGTCTATGGGCCAAAGCAACCACTTACCATCAGGTGGACTGTGTGCTCGTTTGTCATCCTAACCTATAAAAAAAAGACATACCTGAAAGCAGGAGGCGGTGGTGACGAGCCAGTTGGGGTGCAGCAGTGCGGCGTCGCACACGTGCACGTGCGCCCGCAGCAGCGCCGCGTGCCACGGCCAGTCGCCGGGCCGCGCGGACCGAGCCAGCCCCGCTGCGCCCGACCCCCCAGACCCACCGCGTGCCGATGCCACGCCACACTCTACATATTGCAGTAATATATGTAGTATGATATACGTATTACAAGAGACGCCGAGACTTGCTTAATCTGCCTTAGTTAGGCACACTTCTAAGCGGCTTTTCGCCCTCCTTTCTGCCAAGGAGGGTCGCGTCCGTGTACGGCTTAAAAATCTCTCGTCAGATCGGTAAGCCAATCCATAAAGGTGGGGTTTAGTGGGTAAAAGTCTCCACATAACCACGCAGCCGGCTGCGTGGTATGCTATGAGCATTCCCCACCTCCCTTCCCCGCTTTCCGGAGGGTTGCCCATATTTGCTTCGGGCGCAAAAAAAAGACTTGCTTGTTTACAACACGAGTTACTACACACTGGCTCAAACTCACACTAAGGACGGCCACATACATACGGAATTCCGTTTCGAGATTTCATTTCGGAATTCCGTTTCGGGACTCCGAACCCAGCAAGTCCATATAAAATCAAGGACCCGTCACACTCCTACGGTAGCTTTCCGTTCGAAATTTTGCGGACAAATCGGGATTTATACACTTAGTTACATATTATTACTTTAATACTGGCTTTCTTGTGATCTTAGCGTGTTAAGGGGATGCACCCAGTAACGGTGGCAATATGTTTTCTTCTTGGATAGATACAGCAACAATGCAGTCGCAATATCGTCGTTCGCTGGCTGAATATCTTTACTCGATGTCTGGCATCTCTCAACTGAGCATTCTTATTCAAACAAAAAAAAACGTATAGTGTGTGATGTATGTACGGAATCCCGAACCGGAATTCCGAAATGAAATATAGAAACGGAATTCCGTATGTATACGACCGGCGGAGATACTCTGTAACTCCTACCATGCGCCCCGCACTACCGCATAGATTTTGTTCGCGTTGACGGTACATAATATTACTTTAATGCACTCTAAAGCAGCATTTTTATATAGTTATACGGTGACAACACAGTCAATCTGATGGTAAGTGAATACTGTGGCCCATAAACATCTACCCTCGATTAAGAATCAAAATGCAGATTCGTTGTTACCTCTGAGGACAAGATGGAATGCTTCATTTCCTGTAAAAAAAGGTTTTCGCTTTACTACTATACTCCGGTATTCTGTGAGAGCACGGTTGCCGGGCGAACTTTACATCTTTTTTATATCATCTCAGATCAAAAGATAAACAGAGCTATCAAAACTTTCTTTAATATTTCAACACTCCATGGGTTATCGTGTGTGTATCGTAAGTCGTAACAATCTATAAAAAAAAAACACTGCTGAAAATAGGTCTCCCCCATAGATTCTTTTGAATTTTGATCTGATTTTTTTTACCTACCGCCGCCCATGATTAACCACAACACCAGGGGAATTGTAGGTACGTTACCGGCCCTTTAGAAAGAAGTAAGCTCTTTTCTTGAAGGTCCCCAGGTCGTATCGGTCCGGAAAAATCGCCAGTGGTAAACTATTTTTTTTTATTTGATTGAAGGGATATTTGCCATAGTTGCCACGATTAGCAGTCGGGTTGGCAACAGCAATTTTTATTTTTTAGCTGTAGTTGGAAAATGCTGTTAATCATTTGGTTTGTTTCCCTCTGTCGTCTTTTACGACACCCTCGGCCCTCAGGCGGTATGAGGCAGTAAATATTCTTACACCGCCACTACACGCTCACCTATCCACACTTTGTGTTGATTGGTAAAAATATATAAATTAAGTTCGCCCTTTTTATTCTGTAATGGGCATGAAATAAAGGTTTATTTATACAAACCAGGGGGAAAAGGTTCTATTAACCACCCGAAACCATATTGATAATCGTATTCACCTTTATTCTTTCGTTATTAGCCCGTAAACACAAAATAACAAGAGTATGCTTTATTTTGTATCGTAAAAGTCCTGATATTATTACTAACTATATAACTAAAATCTATATGGTATGCACTTAAAGCTCTGCAGCTTAACCCTTTCGCTATACCGTGTACTACATATAGGTCATTGCTATCGTCTTACTATTGTGTCTGAAAATGAGACAGTGAAAGTGTTAAATCAGCATATGAGCGAGTAAGTGTGTACATATGTTTATAATATTCAAGTTGATTGTCTTTCAAATGATGAATTATTTTTGTAATTAGTTCTATGACTTACCTAGCTGGTCGCAAACAACCTTCAATACTTTTCGCTGTGGGCACTCGCTTTTAACAAAAGAAATTTCGGCAGCGGACGGATCAACAACTTCAACGTACTCCGGTGGGTTGTCTACTTCAGTCTTATCTTCATCGTACACTTCTGCATCAGCTACAGCTTCAGCACTCAACGCAGATCTTTAAAAAAAGAGCACTTGGATAAAGAGATTTGTAATCGTGAACAATTACCGATGCTTTTTAAAGGATTCATTTAATAATTACTTAAGTATTGACTAAATTGTAAATAATCTATATGATACTATAAGTACTATAATCTAAGTTACGATTAGCGTTGCTCCAGAAATCAGCTCCAGTTTATTGGCATAGTAAAATAATGAAATATGCACTTATGTAAAGTACTTACAACGCAACGTTTTTTAACCATTGATTTTTGAAATTGCCGTTCTGCAGTACAATATTAATTTCAAATCCAAAAAGTACGAACTCTAATTTTAAATTGATTTTATTTTAAAACATGGAATTCTTTTTTCAAAATTAGTCATTTGTTTATTGATGATGCAATTTCATAGGTAAAGACCTAATATAAAAAGAATATGCGCACCTGAATGTTAAAACTTTGCAGAGCGAATTGGCAACATTAATTAGAGCCTTCTTGTCAGTGTCGTAAGGCGAAGCACAGATCTTGCCGGTGCGGCCGCGTTCCGCCCATACTGCATAGCCACCACGACTTCGGATCGCGCCCAGCGTGGTCTCACTAGTCTCCCGTTTCCATGATGCAAGGGAACGAGTTATCCACACTAATGATCAACACACAAAAAATAAAATTATGATATGAAAAGGTAAAGGTAAAGGACGAAAATATTATTTTTATGCATGTTGTATTGATTTCTAATATGATGTGCCCCTACAATTTGGGAGTTGGTTCCTCATTTAAACATTAATCCCTAATCTATGTAAATAAAATTATAGAGATTTGCAGTTGTGCGCGCATCACGGAAAAAACTACTGGATAGATTTCAATTGGGTTTTCTAAGTTTTGTTTCTTATAGACACTTGGTCCTTATTATTATTTAAAAAAAAAACTATTGCAATATATTCATTTAATATAAAGTTATTAAAGTCTATATAAATAAATTGATAGAGGTTTGCAGTTATGCGCGCACCACGGAAAAACTACTGGATAGATTTCAATTAGGTTTGCTAAGTTTTGTTTCTTTTATAGACACTTGGCCCTTATCTAAAAATGCTATTGCGATATCTTCATTTAATATAAAGTTATTATAGTCTATATAAATAAAATGATAGAGGTTTGCAGTTATGCGCGCACCACGGAAAAACTACTGGATAGATTTCAATTAGGTTTGCTAAGTTTTGTTTCTTTTATAGACACTTGGCCCTTATCTAAAAATGCTATTGCGATATCTTCATTTAATATAAAGTTATTAAAGTCTATATAAATAAAATGATAGAGGTTTGCAGTTATGCGCGCACCACGGAAAAACTACTGGATAGATTTCAATTAGGTTTGCTAAGTTTTGTTTCTTTGATAGACACTTGGCCCTTATCTAAAAATGCTATTGCGATATCTTCATTTAATATAAAGTTATTAAAGTCTATATAAATAAAATGATAGAGGTTTGCAGTTGTGCGCGCACCACGGAAAAACTACTGGATAGATTTCAATTAGGTTTGCTAAGGTCGCTGCATACAGGACTGAATCAGCACGTGCACGGGACGGAGACGGAACGTGGTTGTATGTCAACACGGACGGGAGTTTAATGCATACGCACCGTGACAGTGACTCGAAAATAATGTGCAAGTGTTGTGAAAAATGTATTTTTCATTTGAAGAATTGGCATTAATTGCTACTGCTTCAGATGATAAAGAAGCTACAACAGTCAAGAGTAAAAGGAGATTTCCTGTACATCATACGTGGCAGCAAATGGGACTAGAAGGAACACCTTCTAATCACACCACACTCCTGGTACTCATACCACACTCTTTACAAAGAAAGTTTGGATGACAAGACTCAATTTCATATTAAATGGTTACGTCGATGTACAATTAGTAACAGAAAAATATTTTCGTATGACAACATAAATGGAAAATAAAATTTATACTAACTAAAATTTTTTATATGTAGTGTTCAATATGTTGTGCAAGATTACACAAACATGGACGTGATCATACACATTAAATTAATATTTCATCGTACATTTCGTTCAGTACAACACGCACATCACTGCGTAGCCAACGGAGCGTCTGTGCATACGCAGCGGAACCACGGACGGGTCGTGCCACGCGCCGGGCGGGACGGGATAAACATCGTCGCCGACGATATTTTTCCCGTTCCGTTCATGCCACGTCCCCGTCCCGTCCTTGCATTCATTACGTATGCATTATCACGTACATTTTCTATGAAACGATATTTCCAAAATTTCACGTCCCGCCCCGTCCGGGATAAAACACGTTACGTATGCAGCGACCTTAAGTTTTGTTTCTTATGCACGTGGCCCTTATCTAAAGTAGCTATTGCGATATCTTTATTTAAAATAAAGTAATTTTTTTTATTAAACAACGAGTTTGTGTTGTGTTCAGTGATATGTATTTTCATTGTTAATATATTATTTAACGCGGACGAAATCGCGGGTATCAGCTAGTACCTAATAACTAAATAGTGCTATACTCACCGATCACCCCCTAAAATCTATGGCTATACTGCAACCTTTTCTGTAATATTAACTTAACAAGAATTTTCACCTAACGATGCTTGGTTTGGAGACGAAACACGTGGCGTATTATCGATGGTGATGTGATGTTATAGTTTTAGAATAATAGAATAATTGTAAAAGTAATATTTTAGACTATGTTGTATCAGTTGAGGTGAGGGCACATGTGCTCTTCAAACTCAGATTTTATTTTAAGTTTATTCGTGGATTTTAGCTTATTAATTTTTTACATCTTTAATATAATGGATTTCCTTAAAGTAACGCCCGATTTTATTAAAAAATAGTCAGTTTTGTAATCACAAGTCTGCAGATCCGTTCAAAAAAAAATTTTTATTTTCAATAACATATTTCATCTACAATTTTACAACTTCGAAATAAAGTATGTTTCAAGTTGATAATGATCATTATTCGACTGAAGAACAGCAATGAGGAATAATGTAGAATAATATTCATATTAATAAAATTTAAAATTTTAAATCGAGTAAGTAATAACGATTAGTGCGAGACAGAAATGTATAAATCAGAACTTTATGTTATTTTGGTGTAAGTACTAAGTACCCTACCACCTCACCTTACATTGGTATGTTATCTTGCGGGCAGCATTGCTGCAAAGACCTTGCATAATTGCATAATAATTTCTCATATTGGAAAATTGTTCTCATTTATGAAGCATTTTAAAATGGATAAGCCCTATATTTTAATATCGAGAAAAATGCGATTTTTAATACGTAATGTTTAAAAATATAATATTTTTTATTAACATTACTTAAAAACCAAAACAAAAACGGGTTACTTTGGAAAGCAGTGGCGGATTATCCTAAAGGCAAACTAGGCACGTGTCTGTGGCGCAAAGTTACAAGGGGCGCACGGGGAAGTAAATTCCACAGTATGGTCGTGCGAGGAATGAAATTCCGCGTGAATCGCACCGTAGTGGACAGTCAGCCACCGGAAATGATGAAGATGGAATTTCGAGTTCAACAGAACTTACTAAGAAAACATATTAGTAATCTTTTTAATTAGCATTACTAATATTCCTTTTAACTACTCTTGGTAAGCTTAAAATGCTTGTGTTAGGAGTGATTGGAACCCACGACCTTTTGAGTTCGCGATCCGCGCCCTGCCATTAGTCTACTGTAACTCAAGATGCTGGTACCGTCGCCTAAGGTGATGGCTCAAGATAAGAAGAGTTAGGCTTTGTAACATTCCTGCTTTTGTCATGAAGCGATTTTGCAGGAGCGACTAAACCAGGGCTGGGATCTACACTCGATAGGCATTACAGATGATGGGATGAAAATTTCCATCCCCTGAAGCACCACACTGGCGACAGACTCAGCAGCAATTTCAGGATCATTCAGCGAGAAGCAAATCTACCCAATGGGTAGGATGCATAAAAAGCTCGCATCCTATCCCGATTCACGGGAACAGCCTACAGAGCAGGCAGTGATTAGAACAGCCAAAAGGAATATAGACAGAGGCCTGATATCTGTCCGGATGAGAGTTTAGCAGATGGACCAAAAGGGACGTTGTATGATTCTCCAGTTGTTGACAGACCAGTTGTGTCAGACAATATGCCAAGGTAAAGAAGTAAGGTAGTACGAGAACTGAACCATTCGGCGTAGTGGACGTTGAAATCGCCAAGGAGCACGATTAGATGTAACACGGAATCGTGGTCGAAGAGTCGGTCTGTGCATTACTTCTATCGATTTATAAAGGCGTCCATAGACACAGCGATGATCGTCGCCGTCCATGCGTAGCTATAGGATGGACAGGTCCCTGCCTTCAAGACTACGTAGGTGTCGAGAACAGATATCCTCTCTGACGTACACACAAGCTCCTGCCCGAAGCAGAAAGGAATGTTGCAGTTTAAATTCTGGGTAAGATAAATAAGATGTATCAGCCCGAAACAGCGTCTCGGTGAGAAAGAGCAAGGCTGGCTTAGCCGTCTCGAGATGGTGGTAGACAGCGTTAAGATTTGCCGGTTGCTTCGTGTAAAAGGTGTTCGGACCGGACTGAACTCTATTATAAATTATAACATAATTTATTTGGAAAATATGTAGCTACCATTTATAATAAATAGCCGCTGAAGGAGCGCCGATGTAAATCTAGCTTAGGGCGCGATATTTAATCTGCCTCTGTTGGTAAGATTTACAATATGTAACGTAATTAACGCACACCCTTAGACATCCCAATTAGTATATTATGTTATAATCATAATACATACACTGAATTTTTAGTTAAACATTTTTATGCACTGATTATTTATTAAATGCGTTATACTAATTCCGGAAGAATGTTGTGGTCACAGTACAAATCCACGAACGCAAATACTTTAACGTGCTTGAAATAAAGTTCATTTTTCTTTATTTTTATTGAAGGACAGAATTAGTAATAATACAAATAAAACTGCACTCTATAAGTCTTATTGCCTTAAGTTACGGTCCATTTCAGTTTGTTTTGATTGTACAGATTTCGTTTGAATGTAATTTACGTAGTTTTAATTATTTTTGGGATAAAAAATTATCTATATATTAAAAATGATAGGAATCGATTCACTAAACGATTCTGAACAAACTACTTTCTCAAAATGCGTTAATTATGTTACGTTTTGTATAAACATACACTTAAAAATTATAATAATATACTATTAAACTAAAATTTATGAGTAATATTGAACCATGATTACATCCATCCATACATACATACTTATTTATGTATATATATCTACGCTTTTCGGATGTAGTCTTGGTTCAAATACACTGTATTTCAGTACTAGTTAAACAATAGCTTGTCTAACCTACCCCTGTCCCATATAGGTAATGCTTTTGCGATTAGAATGGCAACAAGCTACTTATTAGTATTAGAGAGCATTACATACACGACACGATTGCATACACGACATGATGCTGATGCTGGTTTCGACATTGTAGATATAAATATTTGACAGATTTTATATCGAAAGACGTAAATTTGTTAGAAAAGTGTTATTTTTGAAATATTAATTATATTTTATAATTGTTACCGCCATATTTGGTTCTCAAATTGAAATATTCCTCCATTTTTTAACTCTCCATTCGTACTCGCATCCATTTTTCTGCACCAATAATATTAATTAGTTAGAAATGGATAAACTAAATTACGAATATTCCTAAATATAGAAAATTAAAAAAGTTAAAAATGTGTAAAAAGTTAAAGAATACTATAGATATATAGATAATAGATAGCACTTTTATCCGATTTTTTTGAATTAAAACTTTTCAATGATGATAAAACTGTGTGAACTTTAGCGTAACAAATAACGCACGAATAACTTACGGCAGCGAGTTTTGGCAAGAACGACGACATATTGATGCTCTTGTTTCATCGTTTAAATGTTTCATGGTTTGAAGTGGATGTTGATACATAAAAGTGATGGGATTTTTGTGTATAAGCTGTCTGCGCATATAAGTTAGTAGAAACGTGGTAGAGCCATGCTGCAGTTATATTAGTAGTATAGTTGTAGCACGAATGGGTCGGCTCGACCGGGGAAGGACCACGCTCTCACACAATACCAGCGTCAAATAGTAGCTTAATGCTGCTGTGTTTCGTATGGTGAGTGTAGAGAACCGGAGACCCTTTTTACTGGAAACGAGGAATGCCATCTAAATCGTCACGGAATACAACGCATCTCTGCATTTTGATTCGTAACCGAGGATAGATGTAGATGTCTATGGGCCACAGCAACCACTTACCATCAGGTGGACTGTGTACTCTTCTTCAATGTTGATATATTGAACTCCAGTTTTTGTCTGCTTAGGCACCTTAAGAACTTAAGTTACCGCCATCGACTGTCCGCTGGTTGGAGCTGTCATCAAAATCTCCCAAAAACTTTGATACATATTATAATACATTTAAACACGTTGTGAAGAAGTTTTAAAACATAACAATACGAGTATTATATTGGCTTATGTTTTATTACTTGACACTAGCAAAAGTACTATCGTACGAGTCCAATACCAAAGGAAGAAAATCGGGTTGTGGCTGATGTGTCATGGACACAGCTGTTTTACCTGAATACGTGTACATAACGAAACTTCCTAAACATGGTGGCGCTCCCTATCCGCCGCGCGCAATACGGCATTCCTCACTCAATGTAACAAAGTATTTGACCCTTCAGCTCTCGAGTGATGTAATTAAATATTGGATGCAGACGATAGATATGTGTAGCTGCAAGGCCAAACTGTATCCTCGATTTTGTTATTAGCAGTTTTCTTTTTTTCATAGGATAGGGTGACAAACGAGCACACAGTTCACCTGATGGTAAGTGTTTGCTGTGACCCATAGACATCTACATCTATCCTCGATTACGAACCAAAATGCAGATGCGTTGTCACCCGTGAGGACTAAGATAGAATGCCTTGTTTCCAGTAAAAAGGGTCTCCGGTTCTCTACACTCACCATACGAAACACAGCAGCATTAAGCTATTTGACGCCGGTAGTCTGTGAGAGCGTGGTCCTTCACCGGTCGAGCCGACTCATTCGTGCTGCAATTATACTACTAATATAACAGCAGAATGGCTCTACCACATATAAAATTTCTGAATTGCCTTCCAGTATGGAAACAAGTAGAAAGACTTATTTACATCAAAAACAACTTACGGCAGCCGGCCTCGTCGCTGGCGTCAGGGCAGTCCGGCGTGCCATCGCAGCGCAGGTGTGCGGGCAGGCAGCGTGGCTGCAGGGCGCAGCGCAGCGCTGCGCCGCCGGCCGCCGCGCAGTGCGCGCAGCTGCGCTCGTCCGCAGCGTCCGCGCAGTCCGGCACGCCGTCGCACGACCACCGCGACAGCGCCATGCGTTGCAACCTGCCGCTACAATCTACGGAAAAGCGTGAAAACGTTTTTTTCTTAAATGCTGTCTATTACGGACGGCGAGGGGTGCCGTCGACCCGTCATCCGCACGCCTACGCCACGGTAGAGAGTGTTACAGTTAAAAAATTTACGTGAATTACCAAGCGGAATTTGTTATGATAATGCGAAACCTAAAGTGCTAATCGGATCGGACAACTGGCATAGTAACACGTAATTTACAGACAGGACGTCGTAGGCAACCCATCACCGCGAGAACGTTACTGTGATGGGTCGTATTGGGAACCGCGCCGCGAGTGATATGCAAGCAGGACGGTGAAACGGAACGTAAACGGGCGGATAGAGGAAGACGTCAAGACGTTCGTCAGTGCAGACGAGGAATTAACGGACCTTCTCAAGAGGCAATACGAGATCAACTCCGTCGGTATCTCGATCAAGAGCAGACCAAGGCGGGAGGAGGAACGCGCTGTTGACATCTTCCAGCGCACCGTCAAGAAGGTCGGCGAGCAATATCAGGTCGGTTTGCCATGGATGGACGACGACATCAAGATGACACCGTGTTATGGTGAGATGGCAGCACGACCCATTCACCGGAGTTCAGGGATGCGTATACTACGCAAATGAACAATCACCTGGACAAGGGCTACGCCAAGGAAGCCGACGGATCTAAGAAAGAAGGTCCAAAAAGCTGCTACTTGCCTCGTTTCACTGCAAGGAATCCGAACAAGCCAGGAAAAATGAGGCTAGTATTTGACACAGCAGTTCGCACATCAGGCCAGTGCCTTAACGATTATCTGCTAGATAGCCCTGACTTGTTACGGGAAAACGAAATAGCGGTGTCCGCGGATATTCGCGAGATGTTTTTACGCGTACAGATGAACGTAAGAGTTCACCGCGTGAATACGTAATGACATCAATAATTTTCGGAGCTAGGAGTTCGCCTTTCCTCGCACATAGTGTTAGGGATCACACCGCGCGCGTATACGTCGAGACACATGCACGTGCCCTTAACGTTATCGTAAATAATTATTTGGACAGACATATTACTTGGACAGTTACGCCACGTTAGAGGAAGCGATCGAAACAGCGACGAGGTTACCGAAGTCTACGCAAAGGTAGGCTTTACCTCGGCATGCAGCCTTGTTAGAAGACAAACCAGAAGTGCTGCTGGCACGAAAGTCTAAGGAGGTGGCGGCGACTCAAGATGACCCAGGAAGGACCCTCGGCTTTTTGTGGATGGCCGAAGAAGACGCGTTGACATTTAACACGTCCATGAACAGGGTGCCGTACAAAGTGAAGATGCTCCATGGACCACTGACTAAGACCACACGGACTGTTTAACGATGCGGGTAAACGTGGCGCGGCATATTGACGTATTCGTTATCGGAAGGCGAAAGTCGCCCCAATCAAAAGTCAGAGCATACCGTAACTAGAATTACAGACGTACCTAATATTTTTTGTTGTATATTGGACGGACTCTACTACGGCACACCACTGGATAAAGAACGATACAGCGCGTTAAACTCCATAATTCACACATAGGCTCGTGGAGATAGCAAAAAAGACATCCCTCGATCAATGGAAGTGGATACCAGCTGCCCAAAACGTAGTAGACCAGGCAACGCGCATGAACTTTGTAATCAAATACACAAGCGATCATTTTTTCACCGGACCGGCATTTCTACACAAGGAAGAGATGAAATGGCCGCAGCAACCAGAGGAAAGGGCAGGAAGTGAAGGCATGGAAGAAATCGTGGTGCATCATTGTGAAATAGAAGACGCACCACACTTCGCATATATAAAGATATTCTTCTATTACGAACGTCTCATAAAAGCCACTGCAAGGGTGATCCAGTTTGTCGACATCATGCGAAGACGGGCTCCAGATTTGGCCATACAAAACATAGAGAAGGCAGAGCGGCTGTGGGTAGCACACAGTCAGCGTAAAAGCTTCGATAATGACATCGCCCGGCTCTGTAAAAACCAAAACTTATGCAACGGTAACGCTCTAAGGAAGCTCGACCCAATTATGGAAGATGGGATACTGCGAGCAAGAGGTAGAATAAACGCAGCCGACGTAAATGACGAAATAAAGCGATCGCTCATATTGGATGGACGACACCGGTTCATGAAACTGCTCGTGGAGAAGGCACACCAGGACGCAAGTCATGCCTATAGAGAAAGGGTGGTCAACGATCTGCATATAAAGTACAATATCATCCGACTGCGACCGACGGTTAGCTCAAGAAAAGAAATCTAAGGAAGATGCATGCGCTGTAGAATTTGAAAAGCGATACTACGACCGGCGGTTACAGTAGACTTGCCTCCCGGGAGTTTAGGAGTGTTCGTGCGACCATTCACATTTACCGGACTATCGCGCTATATATGGTCTATTCCATAGAAAACAGAAAAGTCTTATTCCGTGTTCTGTGATCTATTCTATTATTCTCCCCATATATTAAATAATTCTGGAAGAAACCTTTCAATGTATGTATTACAATTTATTAAGAAGCAGCGTTGTTTTGGGGTGCATTAAACAAATTGAATAGGTACCAGGTTCAGGTGCGCAGGAGCCAGGTCCGAAGTAGTCCGGGAATCGCGCGCAGTCGAAGTGCGCACGGAGACGTTCAGGCAAACGCGCGCCGCAGCCTGCATGAAAAGCGCGGCAGTAAGAGCGGCACGGTCGCACCAGCCGTCCCTCTGTACATCGCGGTTGGAGCATTTGGCACACGAAGTCCTGCGAAAATACTATTTCTTACAGTTGGAAGTCACGAAAGTAAGTTCAGTTTCGGTAGAGCCATGCTGCAGTTATATTAGTAGTATAGTTGTAGCATGAATGGGTCGGCTCGACCGGGGAAGTACCACGCTCTCACAGAAATCCAGCGTCAAATAGTAGCTTAATGCTGCTGTGTTTCGTATGGTGAGTGTAGAGAACCGGTGATCCTTTTTTACTGGAAACGAGGCGTTTCATCTAAGTCCTCACGGATGACAACGCATCTGCATTTTGATTTGTAATCGAGGATAGATGTAGATGTCTATGGGCCACAGCAACCACTTGGACTATGTGCTCGTTTGTCATCCTATCCTATAAAAAAAGGTCACCAGATGACTAGCTGTATGTGTTATTTGTTTATTGTATCAGATTCCATGACTTCATCAGGGTTCAGAACTTAAACTAGGCGTATTATAGTTATTTTAACAAAACCCAGGTTTTACAGCTTACGTTAATTTTTGCGTAAAATTCGAACCAGTAGGAGGGACCAATTATCAAAACACAATTGTAAATTGAAAAACTCTCGAATATATAACTGCATACATAAAACACAAACATCTATATTATATGGCGAACGACTATAAAAACCAAAATGTGAAACATTTTCAACCCGCTAGTAAAGGTATGGAACAGAGCTAGTATTACGTGGATTGTGGGGACATAACAAGCGTAATAAAATCGTTCCCAAGTCAAAAAAGTGACGCTTGAACCCTACGTAGAACATACCTATTGTTTGGGAAAGATTTTGTTTTGTTAAGTACCTCTTCTCCTTCATTATCTCTAAACATTCCACCGCTGAACGTGGGGTTTTATCGTATTAGCGACAATTTGCCGAAGCCGAGCTTAACAGGTGAATATGCAATCACAATGCTAAATGTCTTCCATCCTTGTCACCGCTGCTTCTCGATGGTAATTTATATCGGTGTAAGTTTACCGGATGGTTATGGCGCAATCTATTGGAAACCATGAAATGTTTTCGAAATTACGCCTTTTATACTCACTAGACGAAATCGGGGGGAAGAATTTTCCTATGGTGTTACCGCGCGACGTTTCTCGGAATTATTTATTTTGTAGATTTTAAGTCTGCTGCGATTTAGTTCTGAACCAGGTCAAGGTGTTACGATAAACATATATGTCTTACATGATTTTCGGTATAATTAATGAAAATGAAGGTAAGAATGTGTGTAGTTCCTGTTATAACTTAAATTGTTTTGGTTTATTTGCAAGCATAGGCCTTGCTGTAGATAGTATGTAGTAAAGAGGGTAATTGCTAAATTCGTCACGCTCGGAAGGCGAGTTGGCGACTGCTGCTGTTTAACTCTTATTAATTTACGTAATTAAACTCATTAATTTTTAGTCATTCATAATAAGTATTACATTTTTTATGCTTCTATATTTTATCTACTCCTTATTTGAAATGGTAACAGTCGTTTTATTGAATTCGTCGTCATATTGAGTTTAGTGGCCAAACGTCTTAGGTTCTGCTGGACTGAACAGAAATATCAAGTGTAATCTCACATTGTAGTTATTAATTAAACATTCTCATAAAAGTCTATTGCGTCCCGCATGACCCACATTCCTTAGAAAAACACTGCAACCAAGCGTTTCGTTACGATAATGACCAAAGTTAATTATTGTAAAACTTTTTTAATATTATTATGTACTACAATCCACAATCAATTAGAAATGTATATTATGTAGGCCATCATATAGGTAAGCGTTAGTCACGGAACGTGAGAAGCATGTTCTTGGGATATTATGGATATGTAATAACGTAGATATTTAAAATATAGTACGTGAGAGTAATATGGTCATTCGGTTAATATGGCCCCTTTCTTATAACTCAAAAACTACAGCTTTGTTTGCATAGATGGATTTATGATATGATAGCTCTTCATCAATCAATGCAACAATAAAGGGTCAAAAAGGCGTTGCTTTATCGACGCAATTTTACAGTTGACATTATAGTAAATATTTTAGTCGATTTTAGTATGGTGTAGTGTAGTTAGTTTTTTTAAAGTTGTTGTTTCGAAGTGTTTATAATTATTGCCAAGGCTTGTTTGTTTTTTTTTTTTAATTTACATCTATAATATATACAACATTGTGTTTTTATCTCTATCATCCTCCTCCAAGGTTTGGTTTTACAGGGCGGCAAAGCTTAAGGTGACCATATTACCCTCACGTACCCTTGTGTTAAACTGAAGTATTCATTTTTTTAAAGGATTTTATAATATTTACATATGTATGTACAATTAGGTTAGGTGGTCTTATCGCTACCAGAGATCTCTTACAGGCAAACTTTGGTGAAGGAGATTATTTTATTAAAACTTAACATAATAAAGAAGTGTGTAGGAATATATTATTACAAAATATGAGCTTATGTATAGAGAGAGAGAGAGAGAGAGAGAGAGAGAGAGAGAGAGAGAGAGAGATTAAGTATTAGAATATATGAATATAAGACAATGCAATAATCACATACATCTGATATAGAATATATTTATCTTATACATTTACACATTAAAGTCCAAAGAAAAATAATAAACTTACTTGTGCTAGATGAGAACATTCTGCGTCCAATAGCTCCCGAAAAGCAACCAAGTCTCGTAGCAATGCGTCTTTTGAGGAATGTGCTACTAAGTTGGGATATGTGGTGATATTGTACGGCAGATGTGAACACAGTGTTAGAGTCAACGGCGAACACTCTCTCACTTCCTCTACAATATCAAAAGACATTGCTTCAGTCGTTGTCACCTCTTCTTCAATAGTGTCTGCTTCTTTTAGGGCTTGTGAAGATATAACAGAACTTTCCTAGAATTGAAAAAATTAATGTATGTAGTTACATAGTACAATATAACGTGATATACAAAGACACTGTAAATGTGTTCGAGAGTGTCGTAAGTGGAGACTATGGAAAATGCCAGAAAGATGTTATGGTCTGATAGATGGCAGAATATTTATCTAATTTAGGCCAAACGCAAATTACTCAGACCGACGAAGGGGGGCTGTGTCGCCAATCCACCTGCCGTCCAATACACATGGCGATCAAAACAATAGGATCCCTACAATGGCAGAGATCCATGTTTAGGAGAGAACTGTCACGGACTATTGAAGGAGACGAAGAAGAAGTTATATTCAAAAACTTTGTGGACCTTGAAAAGGTTTAAAAAAACCTTTTTATAATGGACTTATCTAAACTTTACTACTCGTTACTTTTTATTCATGAATTTATGAAGGCATTTACGACTTTTTCTGTCACCAGGGCGACGCCACTTAAAATGAGTTATTGTTTATTTCTATACTTACTGTTAGTTATATATTTTATAAATTAGATTAAAAATAAATATACCAAACTACAGAATATTCATGAAAGTACAAAAATTAAAAAAGAGTTAAAAATGTGCGAAAAATTAAAGACGAAACTACTGAGGCTTTGTTTTGTGTATAAATATAATACTCTAAGAACTAATAAACTTTTATTTAAAACTACAACTTCTCAATTAAATGATATTGTGTAACAAAAACCTTCACCTCAGTGTCAACTAGCGACATCTGGTGAGTGTTGAGCGAAAGGTTTACTGACAAAATAATAATAGAACACTTATTATTTTAAATATTTTTTTATTTGGGAAATTGTTTTTTTCGTGAGAATCTGGCGAAGTTTATTCGCATCAATAGAGCTCAGTCAACGTAACTTTCGCAGTATGTTTTACTATGACGATAATATAGATTATTGAACGGTTTCCCGACCGTATTCAGAAGCTGTTGCAGTAATCGAAATCAGCTACGCGAAATCATTATATTTACCTCAATTTGTAGTGTCTCGGGATGAGTGCTTATCGTCTTGAAGTAGGCGGTGGGCGCTTTAAGCTCGTGTTCCATCACCGCGACTACCTCGGCTGTGCTCACTGCCGTGAAGATTGGTTCGAAGGATACTTCAAAGTGTACACGATCTCCTTCTTCCGCACTATACATTAAATAAGATATTTCTTAATATTATAAACAATGTATTAGCAATTTTAATTCGTTATCATAAGTTTTTGAACAGCCATTAAAATTAAACGGTTCTAGGATTACTAGAAATATATTGGAATATATTTAACCAGTTAGTTACTGTATTTAACGAATAAACAAAATGTTAGTATCACATGATTTGTGTATTTCGTAATGGTTTTGAAGAAAGCCTATCATATCATAATATATTCGCAGGTTTTTTTTGTTTAAGACGTACGCGAGTAAAGTCACGGGTAAAAGATCGTTAAGAAATATGTGCTTAAAAATATTGAATATATCTGTTTCGACGTACTGACCATCTGAAATACAAAATATTAGTTACTACAAGGTGATTAGTAAAATATCAGGTGATTATACTCTATTTAAAATAACATTAGACAGAAGTTAAAAAAGATTTTTTATACGCACACTTTGTAACAAAAGTACAAACATGTTACAGTTAAGATTGTTGCATAATTTTTTGTAATCTATTTATACACCAACTGTTACACTTATTTGTAATCATTTTGATCATTTATCTCATGAAATTAAGTGGCTATTATTTAGATAGTATAGTATAGTACTTTATATTATTTAAAATTTTAAAATCAACGCTAAAAACCTAAAAGCAGCAGGGCTGAACAATACCGGGAACATATAATTATTATGCTACTGCGTAATCAATGACCGGGAACGTTTTTAATTTTATTGTTAATTTTCCAAAATAAAAAATAAAACGTAATCCTTTGATAAGTTGTGGTGGCAAGGTTTTTCTAACTTTGTCGTTTTATGATGTCATTTGTTATTTTGCGTAAATATTCTATAATTGTCATTCACTTTTGAATTATATTTATGATATTTTTAATGTTTTATTTTCTTATTTTTATTGTTTTGTTACAGTTATTACTACTTTTTGAGTTGTTACGAAGTGTTACGTTTATTTGAAAAATGAGATAATCTAAGTGCGAGTGCGAGTGACTCCCAATGTGCAATTCCTGAAACTGACCAAAGCCAACGGCGACCAAAAAATGGCCCCAATGTTGACCTAGATTTTTTTTAAATTACTTATAAAACACAAAATAGAACAAAACAAACTCCACTTTGTGTTTCATAAATGCAAATTGTCATAAACATTTTTAAGCAAAGTTCGGAATCCTGGTCAGCAGATACACCTGCTTTTAAAACTCAAATAATTAACAAAACTGTAGACGTTGCAGGTAAGGATCATACAGTATTTGAAAGTAATGTGGCAATCTTGCTTTCTTCTTGTAATTAAAAATGACGTTCATTTCCTTAGTCTTAGTATTACGAACAATTTTATCAGCCTAGGGTAGTTTAGGAACAGTTACATGTTTTAACAATAATACATTTCTCAGTTATGTTCAAACAATTTAATGAAAATTTTCATTAATGTGATCTAAACTTAACTTAGAATTAAAATGTTTTGCACTCCTGCTTCTACGAGCCTCTTTTTTCTAATGTTATAATAAATTAAGTACAGTGATATCTAAGGTAATTATTTATTTCAATGTAAGTGATTTTTTTTAAATAAATACTCTACATTGATCTCAGACTAAGCACTTTAATCTCTTTTTCTGTGTAACTGACTACAAACTCTGTGTTCACAAAAAAAATTGATTGGCTAAACTTGTTGCAGACTTATAGTATAGTATAGTGTATACTTTTCCTTATTTTTTTATCCCACATTTCTGCTAATGGCAAAGTTCATTCATAGTTCAAGGTTCGCTTTCGATGTATATTTGACCGCCTAGCATTGTTTTTACCACTATTCGTACATTTCCAAATCTTTAAAATAATACGAGTATACTTTATACTTGAACAATGATCCCATGTATTATATTATAGAAAGGATTTGTCGCAATCGCAACGCTTGGTTCATTAATTGGTATTCGTAGTTCCATATCTCGAACTGTCGCATGGTTTACTTACGAGTATATATATAGTCAACTATCGCAGGCCATGATTTGACCTTTTCCATATAATAGACGCGTCAAACGACACCAACGCAACTAAAACGAAATGGGTTTTGTTCAGTCACACATCTCATTTTGTGGGTAGGTACTCGTATGATTTATTCATGAATTCAATAATCTTGTCAACACAACCGACGGGATCACTAAATAGGTAAGTGACTGTAATATATATATTAATAATGTAATACCCGAAATATACAAACACGTACTGTTTTTATACAACAATATAATATGTAAAAATGCCTTGTCCGATACAAAAGGGGCACATCGGTACCTCAAACATATAACAAAAAAGCATCATTTTATTGAATACAACAATGTTATTGTAATTTAAAATACATGCTTTTTACAATAATTGACATAAAATTCAGCGGTGACGGTATCCGAAAAGACAGCAATAATTATGAAGCGTTTGCGTTCTATAATTAGTGTATCTATCGAACCAACTACAAACTGATAAGGACAGCCTGCAACAGAGGTCAAAGTCGTGACCACTAAATCTTGCTGCCCCAGTGGCGTAGCATGGGTTACTGCCGCCCAAAGCCGCCTCAGCAAAAAAATGACGCTCAGCCTCCCCTCCCATATCGCAAGTTTCTCAAAAATATACAAGCGGTAAAAGTAGTCTAAAGTCTTTGTATATAATTCAAAACTGAATAAAACAATATTGGTATCGAACAAGGTATACCATACAAAATACTTATTTTTACGAACTTTTAGATACTAAATGGAAAAATTTCGTTGAGGCTGAAATCCATAGATTCTAAACAAAATGTAAGAGGAATTATGAAACGATGTGACTAACTATGTATCTTGTTTAAAAAACAAGAGCTAGTAGCAAGCGTGAACTTTTGGCACCGTGCGACACATTGTGTGCTATTGACACGGGAAAGTTTGTGCGTGATCAGATTTCTAAGCTTTGTACTTTCTATGCTACGGGCTGTTGAACTATATACATATTATGGCTCTTACTGGTACGGATATAACAATCGAAATAAACTATTTTCCTTAAATAAATTAATTTGGTAAGTATTTATTTTCTCCCACATATGATCAGTACATTACAATAAACTAAGTAACAATGAAGTTATATTACTAAATAACAGTAATAAATACATTTATATATTTATACAGGAAGATTTTTACGTGGTAGAGCCATGCTGCAGTTATATTAATAGTATAGTTGTAGGACGAATGAGTCGGCTCGACCGGGGAAGGACCACTCTCTCACAGAATACCAGCGTCAAATAGTAGCTTAATGCTGCTGTGTTTCGTATGGTGAGTGTAGAGAACCGGAGATCATTTTTACTGGAAACGAGGCATTCCATCTAAGTCCTCACGGGTCACGGGTGACAACGCATCTGCATTTTGATTCGTAATCGAGGATAGATGCAGATGTCTATGGGACATATCAACCACTTACCAGGTGGACTGTGTGCTCGTTTGTTACCCTATTCTATATAAAAAAAGATCCATGTGGGAGACTGGTGCCCAAACTAGGTTGCCATGTGCTATTGGATCAACAGGCCCCTTTCTCAACAGAAGTGTTAATGTTGTAAAACACTTAATCAAAGGTAGCTTGTAATAAAAAGTACATTAAAATAGAATTGTTCAGTTTGAAGAAACTTAAAAGAAAAATATGCTTTAAGTAACAGTATATCTATATACTGGGATAGGAAGAGCCGTGGTAGCTCAGATAGTTAACGCTCGCTGTAAATATAACAAAACGCGAGTAACCCGGGTTCGATCCCCGCCGGCATCAATGAAATTGTTAATTGCAATTTTAAGTGCTGATATAATACGTGCTTGGCGGTGAAGGAAAGCATCGTGAGGAAACCTGCATGTCTGAGGAATAAGAAAAAAAAAGCATTTCGAAGACATGTGAAGTTCGCCAACTCGCATCGGGGCAGCGCGACGGACACTTCCTTGTCCTAAAACCCTCTCAGAAGTGAGGGGGAGGCTTGTGCCCAGCAGTGGGACGTATATAGGCTGTAACTTTACTTTTACTTTACTTTTATAGATAGGGATGTAGTATATAAGTGTGTAACAAATATTTAAACAATACGTTCAAAGAGTTTTTCTGTCCGTTCGTAGTCTAATGATTTAAGCCAGTTTATTAGGGAAATTTTTGACTCTCCCTAAGTTAATATACGAATATATAAGTTTTTTGGATAATATATATATATATATATAAATATAAATTTCATTATTAAATCGGAAGAAAATGCATTAAGTAAATTAAAATATTTTTGATGTAAATTGGGGTGAAATACGGGTGTTGGCAAGTAAATGCTGGTCAATAGACAAGACAGACGAACACGACAGAAGATCAGCCACAGAGTCTTTCTGAACATGTTAAAATGAAAAACCGCGGTTGCCCACCCGCTTGTCAAGCGTGGTATCTGTATATGAGTGTTATACGAGGCCTATGTTCAGCAGTGGACTTTATTAGGCTGCAACAGTAACAGTAAGAATCAAAACGCAGTTCCGTTATCACCCCTAAGAACTCCCTCGTTACCAGTAACAGATATCTTATTTCCATGGCCGTCGTAAAATATGCAGGTTGAGGACGTCGGGCTTCTGCTTCAAATGCAGGGACCTTATAGTACGCCTTAGACGAAACTGCCTTTACTTGTCCACTCACCATATGAAATAATGATTTCCATTTTTCAACTGAAGCCCTTGTACCAGCTAGTGCAGCTTAGTGCGGTTGGTCAGCTGGCGGGACTCAACAGATTTTGGTGGTTCAAGACCCTGATTTTTGGTAGTATTTCGAAGAGATCTATATTCTGCATTTAACTTGTGATTGGTTACCATGATCATAAATTAACTTATATTTAAAAAAAACTTCAGTTGTTTAACGTCATAACATACAAATACAAATCTACTACCTATTGTACCTCTGCATGCCATATCAGGTAAAGTTGCTTCCTCGCCGATGGTGGTAAAATATTAAGTTATTCATCATCATTATCATCATTACAGCCCTTCAGAACTGCACTGCTGAACATAGGCCCCCCCAACCCACAAAGCACAGTCCTGAGCCACCTGCATTCATCGACTTCCTGCATGTCTTGCCAGGTCATTCCATCTAATAGAATAATTATTGTTACTAGGCAATAATGATAAAAATATACAGACGTACACACTACACCGTATGTGCTTTGAAAGAGTTGAAATGCATTCAATACCATTTGAGTGATTCTTTTAACATCTGGAATAAAATAGGATGTAAAGCGGGCTACATACGAGACGATATCGGTGGCCCGTCTAGTGGAAAGAAATCGGGGCTTTTATCAAGGCAGACCCTACACACGGGCACGGGCCTGCCTAGCAGTACGCGTTTGGACTTGGAGCGGAACACATATGCGGTAGAGTTCTTCAAAATGCCTCCGACTCTCTTAAAACACCAACGTGTTGGTTTGGAATTAGCCCTCTCGGTTAATTTATTCGAAAATAGAAAAAGAGGAGTTGCTGGGTGAAAAATGGCTCCAAAAGAGACAAAAATTAAGCCACATAAACGTACTAAATGGTCTGTAATCCAAAGACGTGATTAATTTTCTCAGGATGGATGAAGACAATTTTTACAACCTTCTAGAATTTTTCTATATTTATGATTTCGCAACTTATATAAAAACATCAATTTCTCCTACCTATGCTATTTAGTTATTTCTTCTCTTTGTTCATTTCTGCTTTGGTCAAAATCGGGTTATGTACTACACACAACAAACAAAGAAATAAAATACTTTTGTATAATAATATGTATACTTTTATGTACTGTTACTACTTTAATGTAATCTTTATTTATGGATTAAAACTATCAAAAAATAAAATGGCTTATGTCTTTTTTTTAAACATAAAGAAACTTTTAATTTCGGACATACTCCCTTCTAGCTTCTCATAGCTTGTTTGTTGATGTGGAGATGGTGAAGGAGTAGGAGTTAGTTGTTGATGAGAGGATGAAGGCACGTAAGAGATATGAGTGCGGTCTTGTGTTGATAGCGTTGGAATAGGAATTAGTTGTTGAGGGAGAGGCTTCATCCTCTCCTTACTTACTTCATACTCCCTACTTTACGAACGGCAATAAAACAATTAGTATAGTAGGCATTCTTGACTTCGCAAGGTCATAGGCTGGGGTGGATATGATTTAAATTTCGATAGATTTTAATTAATTTATTTATTCAATTTTTTTTTTGTTTTTTGTAAATTTTTTTGCTCCTGCCAGTATGTAGCCCGCTTAACAGTTAAACGGAATAGAAGCCTATGGCCTATGTTTTTTTTACATTAAGATAATTATGAAATTGATCTATCAATAAATACTACTAATTGGGTTTGTATTATTTTAATTTCGGTAGTTTCTAAAATATTTATTTATTTAGTTAAAAATTTTTGATTTTATTTTTTTATTACCGAAAGTTTATTTCAAAATAGTGGTATTTATTGATAGTTCAATTTTATAATATGTTAGTAAAAGCAAAAAAAAATTGTAAAATATCAATGCCACAGGCTTCTATTCCGTTCACTTGTTACACTTTATTTTTTTCCAGACGGTAAAAAAAATCGCCCAGTATAAAGATGCGAATACGAATGTTGCATAATACGTGTATATGAGTTTGTTTCATGACTTAATAACCATTTGCAGATCAATTACAATTCTATTAATGAAACAGCAAACTTTTATTTTTTATTGTCCTGTATCACGCTCGATCACTGATCTCGTAAGATCGTCGAGAAAACGAACTTTCTCCGAGTAGCTTATAGGTACTTACGATGTCGCAAAATGAAAATGTCCATTTTTGCCACATATAAAAGCAATATGCATGCATAATTTGTGTGAATGGCCAGAGTTTAATGTTTTTTTTAAATCGCCGTTCTATTTTTTAACTTTCTTTAATTTACAACAAGATATAATTTCTGTAAATGTTTTACTTGGTAAACTTTACTATCAAAATATTTTCTTTGATGTTTGAATATCTAGTAGCCTCCTATTTCTATTAAAATTTATGTTCTATACAATTAATTCTATAACTACATTGTGGGCACTAAACAAAATCTTTTAAAATACTTTAAAGTCATTTTATAGTTTAACTGCGCATGTTAAAACGCGTGTCTATGAAACATCTTTTATATTAATAAAATAAGCTTTTCGTCATCACTCGAAAGAGATAGATATTATTATATAAAGCTAGAATATCAAAAAATGATAATAAAATGTACAAATTACCTATCGAGAGCTAGAATTTCAGCAGATACAAAACAAGATCGCAATTCAGACATGCTGTAAGTATCATAAAGCGCCTTTCGGAGTTCAGTTTCACGCGTGCTGTTCCTCACTTCTAGATCATTCTCCTCCTTCTCCACCACGCCCCATGAGGATACGACGAAAGAGCCGCGGAACGTTTGTCGATTCAGAGGATCCCCAAACAGATACATGTCTGTGAACAAAAGTACTTTTATATATAAAATTCCCATAAAATTCCCAAAAAACTTATAATCCACCTGATTGTAAGTGGTTGCTACAATCCACGGGCACCTGCAACCAATTTTAAACACAGAAGATACGTAGGCAATTCTGAGTACCACCACGGATCACCTCACAGCCTGTAATGTTATGTACTGGCTCTCTAAACCCTTCAGACCGTCACACAGCAGCAGCGCAGTAGTGGCACAAATAGGTAAGAGAGCGTTGCCTATTGAGACGGACAGAAGCCCGTCTTCTGCCTGGGAAAGCAGAAGGGGAGATTTACCACCTAGAGTAAACTAAATACATTACCTATAGTAAACTATTAATCAAAATAACTATGATTAATAACGCCTAGTACGTGAGGGTAATATGGTCATCCGGTTAATATGGTCACTTTCTCATAACTCAAATACTACAGCCTTGTTTGCATAGATGGCTCTGTAATACGATAGCTTTTCATCAGTCTATTTAAAATAGTAAAGTGTCAAAAGGGCGATGCTTTATCGATGCCATTTTGACAGTCGACATTATGGTAAATGTTTTAGCCGGTTTTAGTATTGTATAGTGTAGTTAGTTTTTGTTTAAATAAATTTTTCAGTGTCCTAATCCTAATATTGCCTAAGCTTGTTTGTTTTTTTTTAAATATATTAGTTATAGTATACGGCTTTGTATTTTTTGTCTCTGTCTTTCTGTTAGTTTTGGTTTTATAGGGCGGCAAAGCTTTAGGCCATATTACTCTCACGTACCTTATTATCAGGCACCAGGCAGTGTATACTTATTGTGGGAGCTTGTTGTTGTGGTTCTTCAATTGTTAAATTGTTTTGCGATTGACAAAATGGTGAAACAAAACAAGGGTAGTTGAACAGTACAAGTGAATCGGCCCTGCGCCCACCGCTTCCGCCTGTCTGCCTAGTATGGTGAACATAAGACCAACTTATCAAATAATACATGATAATTGGTGTATTCTTGTAGAGACATTTCTAGAATATAATAAAGTTGTTGAAAACAAAGCACAACTAATATTAGATTATCTATCAATGATTAATAACAATATAGTTCAGAGAACAAAAAAGCAGCAGTAATTTTATTTAAAAACCAACGTAATAAAATAATGTAATGATACAACTGTCAACTTTTGCAATTACAAAATAAAGGGTCAGTAGTTTTTATCTGTTTCTCTTCTGTTACGTAAACTCTTTCCCAATCACTGAATTTACAAATATTCATTTAGTTATAATTTACGCATGCATAGAACAAATAAATTAAAGCATAATAAGATAAAACGTCAGTTTCGGTAATAAATCTAATCATTCGTACGGATGAAAAATATAAAGCGTATCGAGTTTTGTTCATGCACTTGTCGCAACGAACGCAAGGCCAACCGATCGGAGCACCGGCCTTTAGCGCGGTGACGGGCTGCAGACTACAGTGCTAAATGTTACTACCTTCTAGCTCTACTGACATCATATTTATTTACGAAAAAAAAATCGTGAAACACAATATATAAATATTTTCGTGGGCCACTCAAAAAGTTTTGCTAAAAACTAAAACTAAAAGAAAAGTTCTATTGTTAGTTTTTATTATTAAATCTTTTCAAAGAATTTTCCAGCATCTATATAAAGTGTTAGTGTGTTAAACAATTTTCGAAACACTTCTTCCAGTCCGTCTCAGAAACCTTTTCAACCCTACTCGAACGCTGCTAGCGCATTTTTTATTTTAGGGAATAAAAAGAAGTCAGATGGTGCAAAATCAAGACTTCAAGGATGCTGTTCAGTAAGTGCCACGTTTTGAGTAATAAGTGTGCGGGGTGGGTTACCATGGTGAAGCCGTAGCCCGAGGAACCCGTGTATGTTGTGTTGTGCACTTGTTGCCCACAATAGTGCTCACTTCAAGCATTTGGTATTTTAGCATTGTGCATTGATGCATCTTCAATTTCGTTAAGCAATTACCAACGGATATCTCGTGAAAGTGAAAAACTAGCGACCAAAATCTTCCCTGCGGTTATCGATCGCTTCACTTTGGTAGGGTTCATTTCGAAACAGCCAATCTGTCAACTGACGCATCATTTCTGGATCACATTGATAAATCAAAGTTTCATCACATATTATAATGTAAACATGTCCATACCAATCGTCAATCAAAAATAAGAACTGAGTAATCATGTCACGATACCATACTACGTGGCTCTACGTCTAAGCATCGGTGAGGTTTCCTCCTCAAACAAGAGTTCGGATAAAATCTCGTGAACGTTTCCCATACACACATATGCAGAATCATACATAATTTGCTTATTCTCTTCAATTAAAGTTTTCATAGTTGGAACCTTTTCTTCCGAACCAGCCGTCAAAGGGCGACTATTTCATTTTTCATCTCTTAAAGTTAATCAACTGTACTGAAATTTGTTCTACCAACGGTAAACGGTTGCTTTTTATGAGCCTTTATCCTTAAACGCCATTCGAAGTCTATCAAACAATTCATCCGGTTTTAGACGACGTTTCAAGTCGTAAAAAACCATTG